TGTGGAAGCCCAAACTTCACCTTCTTCCTATAATCTCTGCCAAAAGCCATCAGTGAAAGAAAGACACTTCTTGAGCATGGTTCATCTCGTATGATATAAAACAGGTCACACAAATCACCATCAAGAAATGCCTATTTCTCTGTACTGACTCTGAAGGGAGTTGAGATGCACAACTCACATGTAAATGCTTATACTGTAAACACACAGAGTTAGACGGGATGAATCCCACATGCCTTCCCTGGATTTAACACCCTATGGAAAGTCTTTTTTTCTCATCTACTCCTAAACTAGGTGTGCATTTTCAGCTGCTCAGGTAACTCTAAGTGTCTGCTGCAGAGGAGTTAATTTGTCACTTCCCCCAGGAGCCCCAAACACCACACCACAAGATGGTTGAGGGATAATAGGAGTAAAGGAAGAGGGACTTAACTGTAGGGCATGAAGATCAGCAAGCAGCATCACAGAACAGCAGAGGCTGGAAGGTGCCTCTAGGAACTGTTTAGTCTGATAGTTTAGTCACCCCACTGAGTATCTGCGCACATGGATAAGATCCTCCCCGAGTCTTCTCTACTTCAGGCTGAATAGTACCAGCTCTCAGCCTCTCCTCATGTGTCATGCTCCAGTCCCCTCATCATTTTTATGGCTTGCTCCAGTAAGTCCCTGTCTCTGCTATACTGGATGAGGAGCCCAGAACTGGACCCAGCACTGCAGACATGTCTCACCAGGGCTGAACAGATGAAAATAATCACTTCCCTCGACCTGCTGGCAACCCTCTTCACAATGCAACCCAGAGGGCTGCTGGCATCATTTTGAGCTATTGCAATAGACAAGGGCAGAGGGCAGCTGCCAGCATGACTTTAATCCGGTTCCCAGGAATGCCAGAAGCGTGTCTTCTAGTTAAAGAGCTGCAGCCTTGAGGCAAGCCAAGTACAGCATGCTAGGAAGATGCTTCACAGGGAACTGTGTGGGAAGGCAGGTTGGAAGATCATAAGAAGGACCACTATTTTGGTACTAGCAGAGAGAGTGGGGGGCAAAGAAGCGCCAGCTGGCTGTCCATACTAAAGGAGACTTGTCCTGTTGCTGACAGATGGGGGAAAATACAGAAAAGAGGTAAATTTCGAGGGGGAGAGGTGGAAAAATAGGGTAAAATAGGCTAGACAAGAACAGGTGTGTCCACAGGTATAAGGTCTCCAAAGGAGTTAAGCCTCTAACACTGATGCAGATGGCATTGCATGTAGCTTTTCTTGCTGTGGAGCAACATTTATGGAGGCCATTGCCAAAGTTATTTGCAGGTTTCTGGAGAGTCCTGGAGAGTTTTGGTAAAAACATGTAGCAAAACTGTGAGGGAAGCGAGGCTTGCTAAATGACAACTTCCAGCAGATCACTTTGTCTCCATTTGGGCCTCTGTCTGTCATCTCTCTCCAAAAGGTGACATAGAAGGGAACAAACATCCAGCGAGCAGCATGGGCAGATGAAACAAGACCATTGCTCCATGTCAGCCTGAAGCCATGTAACTACTTCCCTGCCACAGGCTCTAGTGGAAACCAGTACTGTGTTTTTGTGGAGTGAGGGTGACAAAACAGCTGTGGCAAGGGCTCCAGAGCACCAAGGGTGGCACAGTGCAGGAGCAGAGCACGTATGCTAGAGCAGGGGAGGGCTGTATGGTGGCAGTTCATAAGTAGCTTGGTTAAGGCTCTGGTGGGATGGGAGCCAGCAAAACACAGACAAAATGCTTGTCCTGTTAGCTATGGGGGAGCATTTGGAAAGGCTTTATGCACCTGAATGAATCACCAAAGAATGTTGCTGGGAATTTTTTATTTCTGGTTTGCCCAGTCCTCTGAAATGAGTCAGTTACAAGCGGAGATAACAGGAAAGTATTCCCTGAAATATTAAATGCCAACATTCAGCAGGGTGACAGCCCTGCTTGGTGTCTACTGTAAAATTCTAGCAGGCAAGGACAGTTGCTTGGCTCTTGCTCAGAACCTGTCAGGAACACCCCCACTACACTGTGATTCAACACCAAAGGAGAAAAATAAATCCATTCCTCTGTAACAGGGAGAGTAGGTGAGCATTGCTGAGTTAATAAAGCAATGCCGCCATGTCACATCTGGAAACCCAGCTTGGGGCAGAAAAAAATCCAATTAGCTGCAATATCCTTACTATAGTGGTCCTGAATCAGTCCCTAGAGAGCCATTGCATCAGATAACTGCATCCCAAGATGAATGACTACATCCTCTACAACATTTGCCACAGATGGCAACCACCAGCCAGCAGAGAGAGGTGCCCATTAGTAGAGAGGCAGAACTCAGCTAGAAGTGCCTCCCCAACCCGGGAATGGTGAGAAACAGAGCTGCCTGCTAGCAGATGCCCCCTCCCATGCAGAAAAAGTAGATCCAAATTAAACAACAACAAAAATAAAATCTTGCAAAATACTCTGAAGTTTGGCTTTTATTTTTTAATTTTTTTATTTTTTTATTTTCCCTTATAAACACATGCAGGCAAAAGCAGAGTTTGCAGCCCTCCCTTATCCCAGGTGCTAAAGCTTGTTGCGTGCTGAAAGGCACCGTGAGAGACTGGCTGGATTCTCTGTTAGCAGGTGTTAGGAGCCTGCAGGGATCTGCACGTTAATTAATTCTGACTTACCAGGGCCGGGGAGGCTCATTAGCCTCCACCCTAAAAATGAGGAAGACAGGAGGAGCCCTCTGGGGAGAAGGCAAGCAGTGTTTGTGGGGACAGAAGCTAAAGGAGAGCCAAATCTTTAGGTGGGGCTTTTAAATTCATTTCTTATCCATTTTTTCATAAATACAGCAAAGTTCAGAAGATCTATATTTTTACACTTTGAGACGAACATCTAATCTGTCAATAGTTAGCAGAAGCTCCTTTTGCAGAAACCAAAGCCTCCTTGCACTCAGCTGCAGACAGAGGCAAGTGCTTTCTCTGCTTTGTCTTGGTGCTCCTTACATTTCTTTCTATGTCCCTAAATGGGGAATTCTAAGGCCCATAAGTGGGGGAAGGAAGGGGATATTTAACTTGTTGTCAGAGCTTGTGAAACCACATGCTTGACTTGTTAGGGTTTCTGTGCTTGCCTGCCTGCACGTCATATCATTATTTTCTAATCAAATCCAAAAAGTCAGGGAGAGTATCACTGGCCAAAACCCGTTAACTATGGGGAAGGGGAATGGGAGAGCCAGAGTAGGGGAATGGACCAGTTGTTTAGCATAGCTTCAGATCCAGGCATCTCCGAAGTTGTTCGCTGTTCAAACAATTGGATGACAGCACCAGCTTGCGCATTCCTGCTCAACAATGCTTCCATCTCATCTTTTCTCCTCTTCCTCATTGCCCTTAAGGTGCTGACATCCTGACAAACTCAGACTTGCCCCAAGCAACACTCAGAGCTGAAGCACCCCAAGTAGAAGGCAGGATGGAGTGCTGGGAGATGCCCTGGCTGTCACCACCAAATGAAGTTTGAACCAAGCCAGAGGATTGTTGTACAGACAAGTAAGAGTTTGGGGACAGGGAAAGGGACACTGCCTTCCTGGGATATGGAATTGCACTGTCTGGGAGAGAAAAAAAAAGAGATGAGTGCAGAATTCCTGGTACAGGAAATCATATAAATCCTTGTACACAAAGTGAAGGGCAACCCAAGAAGCACTGTGGAGGAAAAGGAAATGGGAATGTGAGGAAAACAGAGATTTGTGAAAGAGAGAAGCAAGAAAACTGAGAGTTAGCAATTCCTCCAGGGCATGCCTGGAAAGAGGTCAGGAGGGTGTCAGTCACAAAAGCTTGTAGGGATCAGCCTTGTCATGTGGTGGGCCAGTGAAAGCTCTTTTCTCGGTATGTTGGATAGACCCCTTATCGACTATGTGTTTTCAAGGCAAACTCAGGTCAAAGTAAGCCTTTAATGATAGTAACAATTGCTTTTGGTAGAGCTTGAAAGGAAAGAAGAATACACATATTTCTTTTATCGGGAGAAAAAAAAAGAGTGACTGGTATTCTAGGGAGGACTACTAGGCTCCAGGCTATCCCTTGTCCCAATTCTCAAGGAATAAATCAAGAGAAAACTTCCCATTTCATTTCACGTGAGAAAGGAGAATGAGCTCGTTCCCATTTCATTCTTTTGCTGGGATGCCCCTTTCCCTCCTCCAGCATCTGCAACCGAGATCTGAAAATTACAGAAGCGATGAGGGTGGTGCTCATCGCCTAAGGACAATTCCTAAATTCCTCCCCCCCCATGCATCCCACTGAAAGTTGTTGCCCGGAGTGAATTCAGCATTGAGCCACCTAGTGGTATTTGATAGAAAACAGCCAAGGCAGGCAACATCAGGCTATAAAGCCCCCTAAAAGGCAAGAAGAGGAGAAAGAGGTCTGTTGGAAGCCTCGTAGCCCTTCCGTGCTCTGGTCGAATTGCATGAGAAAGTCCTTTCTGTTGCTAAGGCAGCCATCAAGACATGGACCAAACGCGTATCAGTGCAAGAGCAGCAAGCAGGGGGTGGAAGCTGTGCAGCACTCTCCTGAGACCCAGCTGCTGTTGGTTTCCTTGCCCAGAGCTGAAGATGCTCACATGTTGCAAATACCTTAGATGAACACAAAGTCTTCTTGCCTGTATAGAGGAGCCAGGGGACTGCGTGGCTGCCTTCCTGTGGCTGCCGGCAAAGGAATTAAAAGGAGAAAAAAAAAAAAAAAGAAAGGCTTCTTGTCCAGTATCAGGGGAAAAGGAGCTCTGCCTGGTGCTATTTCCCCCCAGGCACTGCTGTGGGGGAAGGGGAAGCCATGCAGAAATTGAGCAAAGGCAGCCCTGGGGTATTCCATAGAGTGATAAACTGCTGTGGAATGGACATCTGAGCCTGGAAGGAGCCAGCCTTTATTACTAAATTAAATTGGTCATTCTGGCTGCTTGCTTCTCATTGCATCACATCAAGGAATATCTTGACTAATTATTTTTCTTTTCTGCTTTTTCAGGAGGGAAACCCAAAGCTGAAAAAACCCTGATTTATTCTCCCTAAAATCAGCTCACACCCAAAAAGGCAGTTCTTCAAATTTACCTTTGATCTTTCACATTCTGTGGCTATGAATCCATGTATTGTTTATTACATGCAATATTGAATGAAAGGATGCTAACATTCTCCCACAGTCATTGCTTATTGGAGTTGGGGGTTAATAAAAGAACCAAATGTCACAAGCCTTAGAGTAAAATCATGTGGATTCACATTATTAATATATGTAACTTTGTCTTTTGGATTAGTTGCAGCCTTCTGAATGCCAAAGTTCTCCCCTCTCAATCTTTTTTCTTTCTACAGAGCATAATCCAAAGTATCAAAAAGCCAAGTGAGAGTTTAGTTTAAAGAGCAAGGCACACAGTATGTAGAGATGAGGGTATGGCAAGAATGCTGTGATTGGACATATCAATCATTTCTATGGCAACAGGAGAGGATGTAACAATAATGTAGAACAGAACAGAGAAGACTGTAAAAAAATAAATTATACACTACTAATACTTTCATTTACCCATTACAGAGATAGAATCAAAATACAGAAAACCGTACAAAAAATATTAAGAATTATTTATATTTCCACATTTCTCATTTACAGTAGCAAAAAAAATATATCTTTTATACAACAAGTGCATTCTTGTACATCTGGAGGATCTGTAGGTCCATTTGAGAAGGCACACATTTTGTGAGAATGTAAGTAATATAGCATAGTAGGGTATGATGAAAAGGAGTATGTGTTTGCATGTGGAGAAACAGAGATTGAATCTTATCCATCCACCAGGCTTATGCCTTTTTATTCTTCACCCCGATGAAAATGACAAATGATGGCACAAAGCCTGATGAATTTCATATTCTTCTAATAAATGTATATAGATGTATTCACTCTTCTTTTAGTCACCAAGGTTGGGATTTAGTTTGCCTAATTTGAGTGCCTGGACCTGAGGTACTCCCTATGCTGCTCTTGGTTTATCAGAGCCTCACAAAAGTCTTCAGCTCTTCATGAAGTGAACCTCTGAACTTTGTCAGCCAAATTGCTCTGCAAGGTCTGCTGATCCGGATCCTGGTCTAGATCCCTACTGACTGCAACAGGAGCTTAGATACTTTGCTCACATGCAAACACTTGAGGGAAAAATTCAGCTGCCTGCCCACAGGTGTCTGACACCATGCCATGTCAGATCCCTTTGAGTAGCTGTGACATCACATGGGGCTGATGGAGGCCATGTAAGAAACTTCTGAGTGACAGCTCAAAGCTAAGTAGGAGACCTGAAGTCAAGTCAAATGGTGAATCAATCCCTTCAGTGGGGAACAGCAGGAGTGGAACTGGGTGTGCAGCCAACCTGGAGAGCCTAGGAGCAAGTCAGGGTCAGCAGGGAATGGGGGATACAGGCACATCTACAGCACAGCTGGAGCAAGGACTGGTGCCAGGATTGGAGCCCACATGCAGCCCCTGAAGCAAGGGGTATGGGTTGCCTATCTGGAGGTGCCATGAGAGGCTGGTCAAAGCAGTTACAACCTTTGACAGATCCTAACTTCTGAAAAATCAGAGTGAGGTGAATCTTCAACCTTGATGCTTATACACCGCAGAGATCTGCATTTGAGCCTGCCACCCACACTTCCTTTGTAGTACCTGGAAAGAAACAGAGACTGCTAGGAAGTTGTAATACCTGTTCTGAAGATGTGCTATCAAAAAGAGAGATATCAGGCCCTGAAGATACCCATGTATCTCCTCTACCACAAGAAGAATCTCAGCATAGATTACTGTGCGGTAGAATGGGTCAGATGAACACTGCCTGATGCATCTGCAAGAGCCAGAATAAGAATGAGCACAGATGGAAGAAGCACACAGGGATATAGCCCCATAATGTGGAGTCATTTTATCCATTGACATCTCTATTGCCACATTGAAATCAATATTAGCGTATTTCTTAGATTGGATACTCATATTTGATATCTGTCTGAGCATTTCAAATTTATTCTGCTTCCTGTCCCAAGCACAGAGAGTTTATTTGCTGCCACGCATTGCTGTTTCCCTTGAGTCTACCCCTGCTGCTATTTTTCTTTAAATGATTCTGCATAGCAAGACCATGTCGAATTTTTTTTTTTCCACAGACTCTTACTATCTTGTATGTTAGAGCTGGAGCCAGAGGAATAAACAAGCACACAAGTAACAGAGATGTGTATTGGAAGTGATATGACCCAGGCTGACAGCTCTGTGCCAGAGCCCTTCCTCTGCCAGATAGCTCAGGCACTCTCCCACTGTTCAAACAGCTTCCACACCTGACCTCAAAGGAGAATTGCATAGCCTTATACATATTCCTTTTCTCAAATCTCAGTAATTAGTTTTATATGCAGTGGTGATCCTGTCAGCTCCATCGCAGAACTGGGAATGAAAACATCAGCTCTTGCAGGGTTGTCTCTTCTCTTGGAGAAAGCTAGACAAGACTGTTTTGAATTAAAGTACTAACTAGCCTCCCACGCAGGGCTAGACATGGTTCTGAAAGCCTCTCATACACCTACGTATAAACACATACACCACAAAATGGATCACAAAATAATTTGATCAGAGGTGGTCTGTTTAGTTGCCTGTCATTCATCTGCTGTTCCTTCACTGAAGCAGGGCTGTCTCAGATCAGGTTGCTCAGGGCTTTGTTAAGCTGTGTTATGTGCATCTCCAAGGACAGGCGTTCCAGAGTCTATCCAATCAACCCATTCCAGCACTTACTGCCTTCCCTGTGTGACCTGTTTTTCCATGATATCCTTTGTTGCAAAATGTGCCAGTTGCCTCTTGACTGGAGCTCAGCCTTTATTGTAGTATCTCATAGGATGCTTAGAGCCAAACTGCTGAAATGTCTACCAGATGAGTGGACTGTGAGGTGGGTGGAAAGCTGGCTGGAGCGCTAAGCTTAGAGGTTTGTTGTTGGAGGTAAAAATCCAATAAGCAACTGGTTGCTAGTGGCCTCCCTTGGGGTCAGTGCTGCACAACATCTTTGCTGATGAGCATTGCTCTCCCCTTGTTCACAGACCCGATTATCTCATAGAAGGCAATCAGGATGGTCAGGTATGATTTGTCCTTGCTAAACCCATTGTTCTTCACATCTATTCATGGCTTCCAGAATTACTGTTTTTTTTTTCAGGAATAGAGATTAAGCTAACCAGCCTGCAGTTCCCTGCATCCTTCCTTGCCCCTCAGATTCAGCATTTTCCTTTTTCCATTCATTGGAAACCTTCCCCAGTGACCACAGCCTTCCAAAGTTGGCAGTAAAAAGCCTTGCAACGACTCCCTCAACATACTCAATTGCATCCCATGTCCCCTGGACTTCTGTCCTGCCTGTCTTTGGCCAAGTGTCATACCATGCACATTTTATAATTCCAAGACATTCTATCCACCTAACAAATTGAAGCCAGTCCCAGGAAATGCAATCTTCTAGCTGTCTTCTTCTAGAGAATCTTTCATATCTTTGTAGTTCTGTTATGGGAAATGAAACAGAAAACCACTGTGATCTCCGTGCTGCTGTTTTGCAACTGAAGAGAGACAGAAGTCAACCTTTTCTTTCCTAAAAAGGCTTACAACCACCATCAAACCCGCTCTTAGAAACTTCTTAGTCCTTAAAGGAAAAATTAAATCCTCCTCCCTTATGAACATCTCCAAAAACAACATAACACTCCCTGCTGAATCAGGAACTGGAAAACAGGACTCGAAGGTCTGCTGCTTTTACTTTCTTCGCACATTCTGCTACTGTAAATTAGCTAATTCTTATAACAAACCCTGCTTCTTGCTCAGCCACAAGGGGTGGGAAGACCAAGTGATTTGTAGGCTTCTACATCTGAGCATGTTACCTGGATCCCCTCACAGCTCATGGAGGCTTTCCTGGCATGCAATTCCTTTCTCCACAAGAGAGGGTCAGGTGTTTCTCACATTTACCAGAAAGGGACAGAGAGAACCAGGCTTGTAGATGCCTGTGCTGTAGGAACATAATATTAGCCAAGACAGGTGCGGCCCAAAACACATACAAAAAGTGGCACAGATCTGAGAAAGCATGTCCCTGTCTCCTATGTAGTCTCCTAGCTAAACTCTTCATGGTGTGAACCTAAGTCCATTTTGCAGAAACCCACAGACAGCACGTGAGAGAAGACAGTAAGGAGTCCAAGCCCTTGCTCACGACAAACATGTTCAGAAGCTGAATGGAAGGGATTAGCCCAGATACTCCCTACAATATTGCATCAACATTGTGTTTGCATAGTTACTCCCAGTCTCAGAACAAACAGTAAGGAAATAGTGAATCAGACCATGGAGATTTCCAGAAACCTGAGCAGACAGACTGACTGAGAAGCTTGTGCAATGAACAAAAAGTACTGTCACTTCTCCACAGCCAAACTCATTCTGCAGCAATTTATTCAAAGCTACACGGTTGCATGAAGCACCTGTAAGTGTTCCAGCAGTAGGAAGTTTATCATTCTGTTAGGAGCATGAAGTTGAGAAAATATTCTATCTGAATACACAGTACATTCAAGAAAGACTTTAGCTTCAAGACAAATAATTTCAAGCTCAGCTGAAACCTTTGTTTTCCTTAACATGCTGAGCCATGCCTTCATCTCTAAATACAGTGTAGTTCCAACTCTATTATCTGGATTTGGGCTGCCTACTAGACGTAAGAAGGATTTCATTTGGGAAGGTATTGATGAAAGAAGCAGGTCTAGAACAAACTACACTAAATATTAAAATGCTTGCATTACTCTAAGCATTTTGAGGCAAATCGAAATTCCTTCAAAAGAGATTTGAAAATATATGAAAATATTGAAAACAAAACAGTGTCTCTTTTTTATGACGTGAAATTAATTACAGTATCACTGGCTTTACTTCCTGGTTTTGGTGGACTATTTCCAGGGGGCTATACTATGCTGCACAAGTTTTTACTTACATATTTATTCTCCAGTGGATCAAACGTACAGACTCTGGAGCTCCCATCCTGCCACCAAACAGGCTAAATTCAGAGAGAATAAAGGCATTTGTAATCTTCTGCTTTTCAGATATGAAACATTTCCTCTTAAATTAAAGAGAAAACAGAAAACAAATATAAAAAAAAAAAAAAAAAACCTTTATCTCTACGCTGAGATATATTTATCTTTGGAGGTAAAAACACGTAATGAGAGAGGAAAAGATGCCAGGAGACAGGTGTGACCAAGCTTTCATTACCTATACCTTTATCTAACCGGGTGGAGACAAAAGAAACAAAATCTTTCCATTTAGCTGTGTCATTACAGGGTGAGGCATGCTGGTTTTGGTGCACTGAAACTCTGACAGTGGGTACAGTCACACTCTCCCACTAGCTCCAATTACTCCCTCTCTTTGCCAGCTTATCCAGCAATTTGCCAGCAATATCCTCACTTTCCCTAGCTTTCCTCTTCTCTGGAAAGCGGTTGTGTCCCTAAAGGCACATCCCTCTATATCCTTCCAGCATACCAGTGTCCTTATGGTACCACAACCAAACATCTTTCCTCTCACCACTTTGGCCATCTGACGGTCTGTGCAGCTTGTCTCAGCAGACAGAATTCAGCTCTCAGATGTCGCTCACTGCTCCTACTGACCGCTCAAGAATTTGCACACGCAATACCCAGTGAACAAAGGAATTCAATCCTACAGCCTATCATGTAATACACACAAAACTCTGGCTGGGACAGAAAATATGCCCATAAATAGTTTCAGAAAGAGAAGTTTAGCTTTTAGGCCTTTTCAATGAGTAAATAAGATACTTAAGTGCATTGTGAATGAAACTACAATTTCCTGCAACTTGCAGGATAAACCATTATGTTATCTACCAGAGATTAGAAGCCATTCTGCAAAAGCTTTAGGAACTTACATGAATTATCTGCAGAAAAGTCAAAAAAGAAGCACAGAGGTGTGCAATTCACCCTTTGCCGGCAGCGAAGTTCCAGCGCTGCCATTGTGAAGCTTGTTGCTTAGCACCCCACATGAGCTGAGTGTCAAATCCAATCGCTTGCAGATATCAAATATTTTGCAAACATCAAATGAAATACTTCATAAACAAGCCATGGTTTGAATGTTGTTCCAAAGTATTTGGGCAATACTTCGAAATACATCTATTCAAAGACAACTGGGAATTTTCAACATTTCACCAACTCAAACAGACCGACTTCATAAGAATTATTATTTTTATCTGTTTCTACTAAGAGAATATAAAAATTCTAACACTTAATATGTTTAGGCAAAGCAATGCTGTGTCTGGAAGCAGCACAAAGGAAATAAGAGCTTGCTATGCTATCAGGGGATTGAAATTGGCAAACACATTCCACTAGCCTGATTTTCCAATAGAGTCACAGAGTACAAACAAGAAAGGCACTACACTGAGGCATCTACTCCTGTAGAGGGTGGTTCCTTACAGGGCATTTTGGGTTCTAAGACCTTGCGGGTGGGACATCAACTGCTTCCCTGGGTGATCACATGGTAACACAGCTCTCTCTGTTGGGGCACAAAGGAAGCTTTGAAGTCCATGGAACCATGGTATCACATAATGGCTTGGGTTGGAAGGAACTTAAAACCATACAGCCCCACACTAGATCAAGTTGCCCAGGGCCCCCATCCAAACTGGATTTGAACACCTCTGGGGATGGGACTTCCCCAGCTTCTCTAGACAGCCTGTACCAGTGCCTCACTGCCCTCATACTGAAAAAAAATGTCTTCTTTATATCAAATTTAACTCTTCCATTTCTCAGTTTAAAACCCCTTGCCTGACCACTATACTTCATGATAGAGTCCCTCCCCACTGTAGACCCCTCTAGGTTCTAGCAGGCCACTGTAAGGTCTCGCCAGAGCCTTCTCTTCTTCAAGTTAAACATCCCCAAATCTCTCAGCCTAACCCCATAAGAGATGTGCTCCAGCAATCTGATTATCTTTATGATCTCCTCTGGACACACTCCAGCAGCTCCACGTCCTTCTGGTACTGGGGGCCCCAGAGCTGAACTCAGTACTGCAGGTGTGGTACCTGAGAGTGAATTTAAGGGGAAACATCACCTCCTTCAGACTTCTGCTCAATGCTGCTTTTGGTGCAACCCAGGACATGAGCTACCAGAGCAGATCTACCTCTGAAATGAACATCTGAGGTTGTTGGTAAGAGTCAGTGGTTCAAGACAGCGTTCTGAGCAGCTTGTAGTGTGTAGTTAGGCTGAGCCAGCACCTACAAGGATTTCTAATCTTCACTCCCTGCAAATCCCACTAGCATAACCGATGTGTTTAAGTGCAACATTTCTTGGATTGCTCTCTTTTCCAATGTCACTGGAGTGTCATAGCTACAGAAAATAACAATCATAGGGCTCACTCATAATGGCTTACTCTTCTCTGCTCAGAAGAGCAAAGATGAGACCAACACCAAACTAACATTTTCCAGCTCTCATGGGAATCAGTCAAAATCACTGGTTGTGTTTGTATTTGAGCTGCCCATTTCAGATGAAACTCCCAGGGTGAATTTGGTAGTAGTTCTTCATGAGATCTGGCCTGAGTCTGATATAGGCTGGCCTATTTCAGGTGACAAGTCCAAAGACTTGATTGTAATTCTGCAGCATGGCCACTCAATCGCCCCTCTTTGCAAATCCTCCCACAGCAGCCAATATTCCAATAGGAATCTCTACCAGTAAAGGAATATGGACAGTTGCACTCAAAAATTGGCTTTTAGGAATTATTTTCAGTAATTTGGAATATGGGCCAAGTTTTCTATGCACAAATAACAGATGCAGTGATGTGATGAATGACAGTAATTCTTGAGGAAATTTGGCCATGGGATTTAGCCAGAAAACTCTGTGAAAGAACATATATCACAGAATCATAGAGTCGTTGAGGTTGGAAAAGACCACTAAGATCATCTTGTTCAACTTGCAGCACATCCCCACCATGCCCACTGACCAGGCCCCTCAGTGCCACATCTATGTGTTTCTTAAGCACCTCCAGGAGCAGTGACTGCACCACCTCCCTGGGCAGCCTGTGCCACTGCCTCACTGCTCTTTCTCGGTATAATTTTTTCCAAACATCCAACCTAATATACTCCTAGCTAAGCTAAATTTCACTCTGGTGTGAAAAAACTAGTTAGGAAAGGGCATGAGCTGAAACAAAGTAGAGCTGGCCACAATAAAAGATTAGGCCTATTTCCTGAAGGAGTGCCATCTCCTGTGCAGAAACAGGAAATAATCCAACCCAGGGTTAGTGGTCAGAGGTAGCATACAAGAGGTGCTACACAGAGAAGACCTCTGGAAAAATATCACCACTGACCCACAAACCAGCGGGAAACCACTGAAATAAGACAGAAAAATCCTCTACTTTTCCAGCCTCATGGAAGAGTTCACTAATTCTGCTGCCCCAAAAATGGCCCAGAATGGCCCAAAGCTCCTTCCTCTGCCTTGCTGCTCAGCCACCAGCATAAGGGAAGTTGCAGCACGGCAGGATAAGACCTGTTTGCAAGCATTGCCCAAGGTAAGTCTGTTTTGCTTCCTTGTTCACGGCACCTTGACAAGGTCAGGACGAAGCATTTGGCAATGAATGACTAACCCAAGGCCGCTCTGTGAGTCAGCAGCCGCGGTCCGACAGGATTCAGGAATGCTGATTGCCAGGTCTTGCCGTCACCACCAGATAATGCTTTCCCCACAGCTGCCCCAGCAAAGCTCTCATGGGCACACACGGTGTGGAAATACCTCCCGTCATGAGGATTTCCCACTACAGTTCTTGGCAAAGTTGAACTGCTGCAGATTTATGAGCCTCTCAGATCTCCTCTAATTCCTCTTTTGAAACCCCATTACCTCCATCTGTGCTTCCTTTTGCATCAATCGAGCCATTTTTACTCGATGGGCTGGGGTTTTTTTTGTTTGTTTTGTTTTTCACAAGCTCCGATAGAATTTCACCAAGTGAATTTAGTAGACTCCTTCATTACTGACATCTTGCGTGCAAACATATGCAGACCATTTAAGGAAAAACCACAAATCAGCACAATCATGTTTTTTTTTCCGAAGAAAGCAGAGAAGTTCTGAGTTTTATGCAAAGCAAAGCAGCTTAACTGAAAAAAAAAAAAAAAAGTGTTAACCAACCAAATGGCAGTGCCACATGGCTTCAGAAACATATTTTTCTGAGCAATTTTTCCAACCCCAGTACTGATTATTATTTTGTAGCTTCCACTTCAATTTCCTTCAAAGAGTGACGATCAGGTTAACCCTGATGCTGAAGAGTGACCTACCAGAGAAGTGCACCTGGATTAAGCCAGCAGCTCTTGGATCTGTTGGCACAGCATTGGTGGTCAAAACACCCAAGCAGACATCATCCTAAGAAATGAACAGAGCTGATGGCCAGGGCCAGAATTCTTCCATATTGCCTTGATGCCAAAGCTGCTCCCTTGAGAAACACTGCTGCTCATTGACAGGGCTGCTCACTCTGATACAGTGGCACCAGCTTCCCTCCTAACCTGAAGGGGGCTTGCCCCACACCTCCTTTCCTCTCTGCTCCAAACTTAAGTGCAACCCAAATTGTTTTTTGGTTTTGAAATAATTTATTAAATTAGTTCCTATTTTTAGCACTTTATATGCTTTGTCTAGTCATCCAACTAGCTGTGTATTTATTCATGAGAGATGCTGACATCTAGAATAAAAGAAAAATTGTGATGTCATTGCTTTTGAATTAATTTTGCCTGAAGACTTATTTCTGAAGTGTTTTTGTTGTTGGGTTGTAAAATACTCTTGGATATTTCAGTTGTATGAACTTTTAAACCTCCTCAATAAAGAAGAAAGTTCTTTCCTTTTCCCAACTTACAGAAAAGCAGTTTGATTATGAAAGCTCCATTCCGGAACCTTTTAGCCAGAGTTGATCATGAATTATACAAATGCTTTTCTTTCAAATTAAAACCAGAAATAATAGAGATCTTGTCACATTTTTAGTAGTAAATATTATTTATAACAGTTATCAGAAAAATATAAGTCAGAGAAGAGACCATCCAGCATCCTATAGAGCTGCTACAAGTTACCATCCCTACAGGAAGAGACAAGTTGATGCTGAGGTTGAAATCCCAGCTGATAAAGCTGTCTGTGAAGATAGCTACGTGGCAGTACCACCATTACAGCTCTTTGATCACACTCTCATGTTTTAACTGGTGATCATTTGGTTCTGGCAGAAAGCATACTGTAACTACTACATTTTTAATATGATGAGGTGTGATTTGCTATCCGTTACATTTCTCATCTGTGTGGGAGGGTAGTACCAATTTGCTTTATGGGTGCAGTGACAAATCTAGCTCATAAACTGCCCAGTATGATATTTGAATGCTTATTGTGACTGCTAGCCACAATGAGCCTGCTGAAATTTGCTTTTGACTATGCTAGAGGGCACTGCTTGGATCCTACTGATTTGCCATCTTCACGTGACCATTTTTGGGCCACCTTTTGTCTGCCTCCACTCCTTTGGAGTATTGCAGTTTTCACAGTCCTATCCAGCTCTGGATAGAACCATAGAATGGCCTGGGTTGAAAAACGATCAACACCCCTGCTATGTGCAGGGTTGCCAACCACCAGACCAGGCTGCCCAGAGCCACATCCAGCCTGGCCTTGAATGCCTCCAGGGATGGGGCATCCACAGCCTCCTTGGGCAACCTGCTCCAGTGCGTCACCACCCTCTGAGTGAAAAACATTCTCCTAATACCTAATCTAAACCTCCCCTGTCTCAGTTTAAAACCATTCCCCCTTGTCCTATCGCTATCCACCCTCATAAACAGCCATTCCCCCTCCTGTTAACATGCTCCCTTTGAAGGGCACAATGAGGTCTCCCCGGAGCTCTCTCTTCTCCAAGCAAGTGGAGAATAGTGCCAACTTGGACTTACACATCAACAGTGATTTATGTAAAATAGTTCTACCTCTCTACAACAGTATAATTGCCATCAGCTTATTCCTGGGACTTTAGAAGAGCTGGTGGAGATGGTTACAAGCTACTCCTGCAACAGAAAGACATTCTGCTGGTGTGTGATGGGAAGTACTCTCAGGGGCTTCCCACTGTCTTTGTCTGAAACTACAAACCCACAGGCAGTGCATTACATCAGCCCTCAGAAGGGCTCCGGACAGGCATCGAGTTCTGCCTTTCCACCACACCCTGCTGCTTCCAGTTGTCAAATACTTCCTCCCTTCTCTCACAGAAGGTGATCTGTTCACCATTATACATGTTTTTGTCAACTTCTGTCTAGACTCGAGCAATGCCATATTTATGAGCAAGAAACCATAGATTCTTAGGAAATTCCAGCACCTACAGAAGGCTGCTGCACTCCTCACCACCACAGGCTATGACAAGAACCCTCCTTCTTTGGCTTTTTCAGTTGGTGAGTCCAGTCCATGTCCCTGATCTTCAAAGTACTCATTGGCCTGAGTCCCAAATTCTCCTTGGGCTCCTGTATAAAAGTGGTGATGGCCAGATTTCTCCTCACTTGAATGAGAATAGCCCATGACAATAAACGCTATTTAATGGGGAATGATCTCCCCTGGAATCTAGGAACAGCATAAACCTACATCTTCTGTGTGAGACCTATGTTTTATTAAGCCTCACTTTGTCTACTGCACACAAACAGCAGCGTGTACAGTTAGGATAAAAATTCTATCAAAGCAACATAGTGTGCTGCACCTTTCCTACTGGGAAAGGGACAGAAAGCAAGTTGCACTTGAAACCATAGCTGTGCAGGACACGGCAGGAGAGCCTGTAGCTACCAATCAGTTATCTCAATAGAATATACAAGAGAGCACAGCAGGTGCCCCTGCAACCTGTGTTTCGTTGTTTATAAGCATTCATAGGTATCACTTTATCTTAGTATGCTTGGTAGGCAAAGGCTTGAAGGTCAAACTGTTATTTCAGTAAGCCAGTTATGTCCTCTCACCTCTCATCTGCTGAGAGTAGATGCACAGCAGCTCTGTATGCATGGAAAACTCAAATTGGGTGCTATTGGGTATGAGCTTCTTAGTAAAAGTTCCCTGAAGCTTGGGTATTGCTCAAGACACTGTTCTTAGGACAGAGATTCCTCCATACTAGTAACTTTTATCAGTCAACGCGGTATGAATATATCTGAATGACAGAGATACAGAACCAAAAATAAACTCTTGCATTTCAAGAACTGAAAACAGCACAATCAAATGTTATTCCCTTCAACGAAGCTTTGAACTATGATGCAGAAAGATATATTTCACAATATAGAAAACAAAAAGTGATATAAAAGACATGAGGGGAACGCTTATGAGCAAAAATGGCTTTTCGAGGGGGTCTCTCTTCACCAAGTTTTATAGTCTTAGCTGCACAACATGTACCTCACAACAAAACATACAAAACAGTATTTCATGACTGAGATGGGATAGCTGTTGTTCAGATCTCTCTGGCACACACATTAAAAAGGAACCCTTACTAGAAAAAAAAAAAAGAGGAAGTGCTGTCCCATCAACCAAAGCTGTTTAGAGAAACTTGGATTCTATGGACAAAAAAAGGGCAGGAAACATTACCTCACATAAGGCTCAGATGTCTGGCCTCACACCTTCATCACTGGATGGTGACCATCTCCTCCTGCACTGCAGGGTTTTCCAGGCTTCTTCACTGCTCCAGCACAGCTTAGGAAAACAGCATGAGGCTAATAAAACCAATTCATGAATGAATGCTACAGCATTAATAGACTGAAGGTCCAAATCTGAGCTTAGTCTATAGCTATACCATACTTGAATATCAAAGCAGATACCTGAAGAACACCTGAGGATGCATTCATTCATTAGTAAGGGTTACTGTGGTATGTTTTATCCTGATTCTTTTTTTCCCTCAGCTCATTTCTCTCTGCAATGAGGAAGCCTCCAAGAAGATTATGTGGACATAGAAAGATCAGATCACACAAAACAACAATCATCAGGTACACAAAAGGGCTCAGTTTCCATGGAGGCACATATACCTATAAGCATCCAAAATTTACCAAGGCTCCATCCAGAAAATACAGCTAAAAGCAGATGCTGAGAGCTGCTGAGCCCTATATACTCACAAAAGGACACCTGTAAGGGCCTAACTGAGATAAACTGTGGGTCCCTGCTGCTTCAGGCTATCAGAAGTTAGTGCAAATAGCTGTGACTGAAAGCCACCCTGACTTTGCAGCATGACTAGCAGCACCACAGATGAGGGAAGCATTGAAAGTGGTCACAGCACAGGTGTTTTGTCCTTTCTGCAGCAGAACCTTGGTTTTTGGGGAATAAACAAACAGATTGCTCTTCTCTGAGTTGCTAAGCCTGTGGGTAGACAACACGGAGCTGAAAATATAAATTGTCCCTACCCTGCAAAACACTTTTCACTGTCATGTGCAGAATTAACAGCAGTGTTTATGAGGATTGAACAGACAAACTCTGAAGCTGTGTGTGCAGACTACCTCTGCCCTTTAACATGACCTCCCATATCCTTACACTTCAGGTGTATCTGCTAGAGCTGAGAGCGTGCCATTTACATTGGTGTTAAAACGCAGGAAAGCCTTTCCACTTTAAGGGTTTCAGCAAGCTTTCCCTCATTCAGCCAAACCCGGATATTGCACCTCGTAGACAACAACACTTCCCTATTTATCCAGATATTTTTAATTTATTAGAAGCAGTCAACCACAATGCTAGATGTTTTATAATTACAGTACACAAAAGAACAGGATGAACTGGCAGAACATGAGCAGCTGCCTACCAACTGAAACACGGGGTGAAGTGCTGCATTTAATGCTATTAAATGCTATAGATTAAAAAAGAAAAAAAGCACTAATAATGAAAAATTGCTTTAGGTTTATCCATGCACAGCTTCTTTTCCATCCTTTTATCAAGGGCTAAGGTTTTTTAGAATGCACTAATAGCTAGCAAATTGGAATTTGGGAGACCAAAGAAGCTTTGTCACACATATGCACAGATGATCTTCCTTTCTTTCAAACTACAAACACTAAGCCCTCTGTCATTAGTGTGTTCATCCATCCCTTATTTGATGCTCTTCCTAGTTCCCTTGATTTCTTCCTGCGTGTAATAATCCAGTCTTCAATATGAGCCATTTCTTCTTACATTCATTTGTTGCATAGGTAAAAAACGAATCAATCAAATACTCAGCAATACTGAAGTGACTTGTATAAATCTTATTTTCAAAGTAGAATTTGTCCAAAATAAAGTTAGAAATTCATTAATAACTGAACAGAAGACTAAACGAGAGAAAACTTCTTTCTTGTAGTTCAGAGGCAGTACTAAGTTACTCACTTACAAGTAAGTCCATAGATACAGCTTCATTTTTACCTGCTAAAATATCACTGGGCATGGAAGTTTCTTAGCAGAATGCTGGCTGGAGATTCATGGGAATTTCCAGCCAGGCTTCAACAGTCTGCAGGAAAGGAGGTTTCACCCTGTTCTGTTTTTGTTGTGCTATTCTGTTTGTGTGCTAAGAATGGACAGCGAAGGAGAGAAGCAAAAGGAAGCCCCACGGTGGAATGGAAAACAGTAAGAAAAAATCATTGAGAAGGGAGTGGATGGATGAGTGTTTCAGAGATGGGAGACTCTTCCAGCAGAAGTGAAGTGGAAAACCCCCTTCACTACGGCTTCCGATTACAATTAATATGAAAGAACCCACCAGCTTAAGCCAAAAGTCAGAGAAGAAAGAGAATCTGAGGCTCATCTGCAAGGGTCACAGTGGTCCCTTCGTCCTTCAGGTACTGGGGTACATCACTCCTGTCTGTTCTTCACCTGGTGCCCCCCACATAGCAAGGAAGAAGACAAGGGTTACTGGTACATCCCTCCAAATCTCCTTCCACTGTGGAATCAGATTACAGTTGGATGTCCTCCCCATTTCACATGGGTAAATATTAGCTGCATGGAAAACAACGTCAGAGGCTTAGCTATGCAGTGAATGTTGTGTGGACAAGTAATGCTGCAGTGAGGTCAACCCTACATTTTATTCATGTATTTTCACTTGGCCAGGTTACATTTCTGCAGAGACTGTGGCCACGAGTGGGGTGATAACCTTCCATTCAGATGCAACCTCTGAAAAGAAAACCTTCTGCACTTTCTAGAGTTTGTTAGGAAGTGACTGTGTGTAAACTGATGAGGTATTTGTCAGGCTAAACGCAGTTTATGGAGAAGTTTCTTAACTGCTTGCATCCTTAAAAACACTACTGCACATAAATGGAGTGGATAATAAAACAATTCCAGGATGATCTATAAAAACAAAGCATTTGAAATCAGTTTTGTTTTTTTTTTTAGCTAAGAAATACGTTAATTAGATAAAGATGTCTACTGCAGAAGCACAAAAAGTTGCCAAAAGATTTTCTGAAGTCACTCACAGATTATGAGGGTTGTTCCGAAAATAATGCCTCCTATTTTATTATGTTGGTCCACAAAATCAGAGGCAGATGTTGGGGGTATGGCAGTAGAGAATGAACCTTCTCACCAATATTCTGTTACATGATGTCACCATGTGACAGATGGCAGCAGAGGGACAGTCTGACGCAACGACATCTGGCATGGAAGTGCGTGTGAAATGTTATTGAGCACTTGATATCTGCTGTAGTTTCCATGGAAATAAAGAGGAAGCATTACTTTTGGAGCAAGCTACGTAAATGATGTTGTTTACCAAGACTCACTCATAGCTAGAACTGTCTGTCTTCCCAACCAGGGGCTTTGTACATTTCCAACAGTATATTTCATCTCTTTCAATTAAGAAAACAATTAAAGACTTGATTAAAAATATTTTTCTCTGTGGCCCCTGAGGCTTCAAATGATTGAAAATACTTCTGATACTAATTTACTGTTGCGCAGTGGAAAAGGGAATTGTCCATTATCTACTTGATATTTTCTAGGCAGCATCCTGGACACCTTCCTGTGCGACCTGGTGTAGGGAACCTGCTTTGGCAGGGGGGTTGGACTTGATGATCTCCGGAAGTCCCTTCCAACCCCTACAATTCTGTGATTCTGTGAAAACATATTACAATTATTTGACAATTTAAAAGATATATTATGTTGAACATTTGAATTTTGAAAATATAACACAGTCTGTGAGTTTTAATTTGGGGGTTATGCTACCCAATAATAGGAAAATCTAGGATCTGATAATTGTTTGCGAATATCTGAAGGGAGCTGGGGGACAAATGGATGAAGCCAGGCTCTTCTCGGTGGTGTGTAGTGATAGGACAGGGAGTAATGGCCTAAAACTTGAACATGTGGAAGAACTTCTTTATGATAAGGGTGCACTGGAATTGGTTGTCCATAGAGGTCGTGGAGTCTCCTGTGGAGATATGCAAGACCTGTCTGTGACCTGCTGTGGAGTAACTGCTTTAGCAGGGGTTTGGACTTGATCTCTTGAGGTCCTTCCATCCCTTGCAATTTTGTGATTCTATAATGGATGAGAGTTTCCAGGTAATTGCCCAATTTACTACGTAAGTTGTATAGCTGAGGGTTTACAGTGTATTTTCCTCATCTGTCATAACATTTCAAGAGTACAAGATTATTTTATCATATTTGAATACACTAACATGGTGAAGTATGCGTCCTCATACTTGGTGTCTGTACCCTAAAAGTGTGATGAGGACTGTGAAGAGGAAAGGGACCTGGGGTGTTGGTTGATGCTCGGCTGAACATGAGCCAGCATTGTGCCCAGGTGGCCAAGAGGGCCAACGGCACCCTGGCCTGCATTAGAAATAGTGTGGCCAGCAGGAGCAGGGAGGTGATCATCCCCCTCTACTCAGCACTGGTGAGGCCACACCTCGAGTATTGTGTTCAGTTTTGGGCCCCTCACTACAAGAAAGACATTGAGGCCCTGGAACGTGTCCAGAGAAGGGCAACGAAACTGGTGAGGGGCCTTTGAGGAGCACAAACCTTATGAGGAGCGGCTGAGGGAGCTGGGATTGTTCAGTCTGGAGGAGGCTCAGGGGAGACCTCACTGCACTCTACAACCTCCTGAAGGGAGGCTGTGGTGCAAAAGGGTCTGGCCTCTTCTCCCAGGCAAATAGTAGGACCCAAGGAAATGGCCAGAAGTTATGCCAAAGGAGGTTTAGGTTGGATATTAGGAGAAACTTTTTCTCTCAAAGGGTGGTCAGGCACTGGAATGGCTGCCCAGGGAGGTGGTGGAGTCGCCATCCCTGGTGGTGTTCAAGAGGCACCTGGAGGAGGAGCTACGAGACATGGCTTAGTAGCTTGTGGCACTGATAGGAATGGGTGGGTGGTTGGACTAGATGATCTTGCAGGTTGTTTCCAACCTTGTGATTCTGTGATTCTGTGATTCTGTGAGTGAAGAAATATTAAAATGTTGACTAGGCTTGCTTTTATATGCAGCAGGTTTGGATAAATAAGTTTCTTTGGTACGGCAGATTAGGATTCCCCACTCACGTTTTTGAAGTCATTAAAGCTGGCAACATGAGACTGGCAAAGAGGCAAGACTTGTCTTGAACCTGAATCCTAGATATTGTCATAGTTTGTTTCAAAAGTTTCACAATGGAGGAAGCTTTAAAACCACAGGGTGGTGAGGCTGACAGGGCCCTCGGGATTCCGCTGGCCCACCCTCTCTCCAGCAGCAGCACCCAGAGCAGGGTGCCCAGGGCCACGGCCAGGCGGCTGCTGGAGATCCCTGGGGAGAAGACTCCACAATTCGGGTCTTAGTGATTTTGTATGGATTGAAGCTTGTGAAAGTCCTTTATTTGTTGAAAGGTAAATTACACGTGACTTCAGAGAAAGCGTAGTTCTACAAAACCTCACTTTGTCAAAACAGAACAAAAAATGTATCTGCAGTCACTCAAACAATCTACATGTTTGTTCTTTAATACTTATCCCCCCTTTTAATTTCAGCAGACAAAAGTCAGTGATTTTCTCAAAAGAAAAAGCTGACTTTTGAGGAAACAATAAGCATAATGGTGGGTGTAAAAACCATAAGCTAAAAATCCAAGTATGCACTGAAGATATTAAAGCAGATGAAAAAAAAACACTGTGAATTGTCTATCTAAGGGCAAAAGAGTGTATGTGAGAGAATAACATGAGGTAGCCTCTGTAAAATG